TTTACCTTTCGAATGTCCCTTGCCCAAATAAAAATAATGATCTTGGCTTTACAACCAAAATTTTGAATGCATTTGTCATTCATCTACCATGCGTGCTACATGCCTCGCCCATCTCATTGTATTTTTATTTAATCGCTCTGATAACAATATGAAGCTCCTTGCCATGCAGTTTACTCCATCCTCCTGTCAGTATATCCATTTTTAGCCTACGTATTCCCCTAAGCAACCTGTTCTCAACATTCAATCTGTGTTCCTCCCTCAATGTGAAGGACGAAGTTTTCACACTTTCATAAAACAGAAAAAAAATGTGTTTGAATCTTTACGTGTTTGTGTGTCTAGATAGCAACCAGGAAGACAAGTTTCCGAATAGCATGGCGACAACTTACATATAGGATTATGTTTATTCCGCTGTTAAACATAACGTTAATATATTATAGGAAAATCCATTTATTAACCTTGGAATTTTGGACCTGGAAGTCTTGCGTTGAATTTCGCCGGCTGATACTTAGAGGGCAACGTCATCACAACACGTTTACCTAAGACTCCTCATTAACTTTCAACATTCGCATTAAAATTCCTTCTCGCCATTCCAATTGGCAAATTTCCTGTCGCATTTTATACCACAAATATCTCTTGTTTCTTCCATCGGTACATGCCCAAACATTTTCCTACAGCCTCAGTTCTTAGTGACGTGTATAATGCACGAAGATGTCATTCAAGGGTTTATGGCTGAAACGCTGAAGCTGTCCCAGTAGTGGGAACGGTGTCGTGTGCTAGCTACTCTGACAACTCTCTTTCCCACGCCCGAAGCATCTCGCGCCATGGCACACTTTCAGCCGCAGCGCCACGCTTCGACAAGCGTGCAATTCCGGATGCAGAAGAAACACGCCATGTCTAGCAAAAGGCGTGCTGCGATTAGATACGCCGATTTTAAAAAATGGCGGACAGACAACATTATTCGTTATATTATTGCTGCTGTTGATGATAACGAAAACGATGATGGTTATAACACAATCGACAGATCCGAAACCTCTCCAATGAGCGGGTTTAGTAGTAACGGTGTAGCCAACAATGGTCTATTATTATCATCATTATCCCATCTATTCACCATTTTATAGGGTATTTACTTCTATGTACCTGTGACAAACCTTGTCCCTGAGTTACATTGTGCAGCAGCTAACTACCAGAAAATCTTAGGTTCTTGTTTCTGAACACTTACGTGTTCTTCCGTAGTGTTCATTGGCGTTCCACAGGGATTTGTTTTGGGTCCTTTGCTTTTCAACTTATTCGGCAAAGTGTTAGGTTAGGTTAGGTTCGACGCCTGTCAAAGGCGGCTGCATCACCTGAAATCATTCTGAAATCCACATCGTTTGCTTCTTCGCTTGTTTGTTTCTTTCAGTGGGAGTGAAGTGACAGGAACGTGACGTAATGGAGTTTTTCCTTCACGCTCCCTGTATATTTTCATCACGTGATGCTTGGCAGGTCAGCCAACTTGATCTTCCATCAGTGCTTTTATTCTTTACACAGGTTGAGACAGGGGACATGCTTTGAAATTGCGTTTGGGGCTAATAAATGTGCTTCTGTTATTATCATCATTGTAAGATGTTCATAAATCTAAGGAAAAAATTTGTTGGGAAAGCTACAGATTCAGTGACAGACACAAACAAGAACCTATATGACTAACAGGATTAAGAACAGAATCATTCTAGAATGAGAGAAACTTAATAAGTATAAAGCCGACTTACGGACGCTTCGCTAGTTAAAATAATGGGATCATCAGGTATCAAACTGGAAATCTGAAAGTATATTAAAAACAGAATAAACTACGTCCTTCTTGGAATGAATTGTGGAGGAACGAGTTAGCAATTGTTGTAGAACCACCCCTTGTACTGTCTTCTGCCGCTGCTGCTGGGTTGTTGAATTTCTCGGAGAGAACGTTTTTCACCTTGAGCAGGCTTGTCAGTCAAGTCAGTCCGGTGAGTGATATAGGCGACGGGCTGAGGCCACACAGTTACTACCTGTCGCCATGGATTCCTGTCTTTCCCCATCCGCTATCTCTCATCAACCGGCTTGCTTGTGTCACTTTGCCAGCGTCGTTCACTGCCATTGTCTGTCTTAAGTGTTAAACCTTAAAAGAAGCCACGACAGTACAGAGTTTTGAACTCTGTTCAGGCTTGCTCGACATCAGTCAAAGAGCGGCAAGTCTAAAATTGCATCACGCTCAATTAATTCTCTGATTATTTAACAATGTTTTCCCAACTACAGAGATTGTATAACATGGAGCGAGATGAAAAGTTTTTCATGAATCGCGAGAAGGTAAGAATTTTAAATGAATAGGCCGTGGCATATTTGCAGCTAGGCCTAAGCCGATATTCTCTTTAAGAGACCAAGGAAAATCATGATATCTTGCTTGTAATGTTTTAGAAATCTTGAAGAATGTGGGTATTTGAGATCAAATATGCTCTGTATTATCATAAAATTATAAAATTAAAATTTAAAATGAAGAACGATAAGATAGGCGGGACATGTAGCACACATATGCCTAAGAAATTTTAATTTGAAAGCCTGGAAAGAATAAATATGAAAATAATATCAATTTGGATCGAAAACAAATATGTTGTGAGAATGTAGACGACGTGCATTTGTCTCTGGATCGACCTAGGGACCAGTAGCGAACTCTTGTGAACTCCGTAATAATCCTTCGGTTGACCAGCTGAGCAACAATAAGGTTCTTAAGAAGAACTCTGCTTCAGTTAGGCGTTGGGTTGTGATTATGGGAGGAATATGGACAGTAACTCGGGATGGAGTTTCAGTTGTGGGCATTAGAAATAGCCGTGTTGAAACTTCGGGTTATACTACAAAGGAAGTAGTTCGTTAGTTAGTATCTGCAGTAGCGAACTCTTGTGAACTCCGTAATAATCCTTCGGTTGACCAGCTGAGCAACAATAAGGTTCTTAAGAAGAACTCTGCTTCAGTTAGGCGTTGGGTTGTGATTATGGGAGGAATATGGACAGTAACTCGGGATGGAGTTTCAGTTGTGGGCATTAGAAATAGCCGTGTTGAAACTTCGGGTTATACTACAAAGGAAGTAGTTCGTTAGTTAGTATCTGTTTTTATTATTATTATTATTATACTTCGTCTTCTTCTTAGTCTCTCAAACGGTACATTTACGATATTAGTAACTTGCCTGCAAGGTAAGTCTTGTACAGCCAGGCCTCTGACGTAACTGCAGTGATGTGATTTGTGGCGTGAATGGACAAAAGACATTACTTCGGGCTGAATTGCCCTGTCCTCAGAAAATTATACATAAAAGATGCCTCACATACACCAGAACCCATGAATTCTGTGGTAGAAAATAAGTAAAACCTGCAAATAGAGGCAACAGGTTCCTCCGAAACGCTGGTAACCACCACCAACAAAGCGTCAAACCCGAGACGACAAGTAGAAAATAAGTAAAACCTACAAATAGAGGCAACAGGTTCCTCCAACAAAGCGTCAAACCCGAGACGACAGCAATCAACACTTTCCTGAAAACTTTAAATCTCACAAAGCAAGGTGGAGTTAAATGTTAAAGTGTTGTTTTGTAAAGAACTTCTTCAGTGTCACGTTCCACAGCGAGATACAAAATATTTTATTTCATTATCGATTGAGATATGTGCCATACTGGACGTTTCTTACCAGAGTTTTTGGAAAGGGACGAAATACTGTGAGATAAAATCTCATGAAACTTTGCAACTTTTCTCTCCATTCTAATAAACTACGTAAGATTAAGCTTGAATGCCTGGCAGCAAGTTTTTGACCCTAGTCGAAGTGTCCTTGTATCCTAGCATGCAGTAACATGGTTAGCGCGCCACACGTTTGACACAGGCTTACCCCCGTCTCTGCCTATAGTCAGTTGAGACAAACAGGTTGTCGTCTGGTGTCGTCAATAGCATCCGATCAGCTGAAGTTGAATGGAAACAGGAGCGAGTCTGACTATGACATCATTCCGCTACAGTCCGTTGGCTAGCGAGCCTGCTGTACACAGACCGTGGGAATCGGGTGCACAGACTAGACTGCAATGACCACCGAGGAAGGATGGAGGGTGGGGAGCCCTCATTGAACATGCCCCGCCACGCTGCACCGCCACTGCACACGTTATGCATGCTGATCATCCAAGTCTCTTCCTTGCTGCAGCTTTCCTAATGTCACCCGCAAGCAACGGAAGCCCATCTTGACGACCGCTAGAAACGTGGCCTATGGGGCAAGGCCTAATGACATGTTGCGTGAGAATCAAACCCCCGGTTACTGTCTTTGAAATCATGATTTTGGGAATCGGATCTGCATGTTAAAAATTCGGAATTGGTGTCTGAAATCCCTGTAAGGATTGGGAAATACGGAATTGTTCAGATCTAGAAACTCTGAGCTCTCTTTTTGGACTCTGTCCTGAAGAAGATAGAGACTTGTTCCTATAATGTACTGTATTATTTATCCCTAGGAAGCGTAAGATGATGAAAGGTGACAAATGAGAAATTATCCTGGCAGCCAGAAAAGGCATTTATTTTGTAGGACTTCTGACTTTGGGACCAGACTGTGTATTAATATGTATGAAGTTTATAAAATTCATTAGACTCATTTTCAATAGAAAATGTTTACACTGTGAAAAGAACGTACAATTTCTAAAAATAGCTACATTAACGCAATGTGAAATATAAATCAAGTCAACGAAGTCATTAAGTTGCAGACAGATGTAGACCTGCAAATATTTCCCGATATGAAGGTACTTTAATCAAAACATGAAGATCGATTTCTTAAAATTCGCAATGATTTCTGTTTTCCACGGATGTACACGTACGAAAACTACATATAAACTTCGTTGAACTTAACAAATTGAATAATCTACGTCATAAGAAGAGATTTCGGCGTAGGAGCGGCTGAAATAAGATACTTCAGACAGCAAATAGTTTGGTGCCTCGTATCGTTTCAAGACATAAAACACGGATGTTGTTCGTGGTACTCACCGTCCAGCGGAAGATGAACGGCACGACCAGCTTGCCATTAGCGTGGTCCGGGTCTGCGAGGGTGAAGGAGCTGCCGCCGAGCACGGGGCTGGAAGTGTTGCCGAAAGAACAGGATCCGGTGGAAGTGACGTTGCTCTGGTACTCCTTGAGGCAGACGCGGAAGGACGTGCTGCATTGACGTGGGCAAGGCACCGAACTGTCGGGCCGAGACTCTGACCCGCAGCAGGCGCCCGACGCCAGCTCGCTCCGGTAGTTGGCAATCTCCAGGATCTGCAGCTCGAAAAAGCCCGACCCGCACGTGCACTGCAACGAGAATACCACAGTCATATCGAATAGCTGATCGATCATGTTTCTTTCCGTTCGAGTGTAAATGTAAAGGCAAAGTTTCCACTATGCATTTAAATGATAACATGCATTATAAATTTAATTTTCTAGCTTTCATGAATGCTTGGGCTTAGACTTAATGAAGTAGCGCATATTATTCTTCTTCTTCTTCAAGCGCCCTCTCAACGAAGTTGCAACAATTCTTCTGTTTGCTTCGACATTTCTACATTTCTGCTTCTTACAACTTGAAAATCGCTTAAATGATTCTCATTAATGTTGACACAAGGAAGTTTTTCTGTAATGTGTCGATATATTTCAATTGTGGTTGAAATCGGAGCACAATAACGAACACCCAGTAAAAAGGACTGAGCGTTTTTCTACGCGCGGATGTGATTGGTCCGTTAAATGTCAACTAGCCGCGCAACCACGTGGAAGAATCCTTCGCGATGACGTCATCCAGCCACACACCCCGTCCACATTTATAATCAATGACACCCCCCCACCGAAAATTTGATCTCATCCACAAAGGTCAAAGATTTATCAGCGTACCATAATTGTTATGCAATGTGTACACTTTCTAACTTGTTGAACTCGCTCTTCATAGCTTGTTATAAAGAATATCATTAATGACACAAAACCTTATAGTTAGTTCTTTGACACCAAATACTTATACCGAAAACGACCTGCTTTGAAGTTCTTCTAAAGTCATTAAAGAAACAGATGCAGTGGTTTTCCTGAGATACAGGAACTCAGTTACTATATATTACTTAAATTAACATCGTATTGAAATGACAGATATAATTCATACCCAATACGTAACTTAACTAACCAACGATTACGGATGCATAATGTCGTTTAGAAGCGTCTGTGAATAGCTGGAATGCAAGGTTTTATCCCGTGTTAACCTCAGTTACACTTGCGCGATCAAATGTAGGCACAAGTTTTATAATATGCAAGTAGGCACATATGTACATGGGTGTGAAACTTGGTCTTTCAGGTTAAGTCAATAAAGTCATTGAGAGTGTCTGAAAACAATATCCTGAGGAAAACCCTGGGTCCAAAAGGGATGCAGTTAAAAACAGGAGAAACTCGCAAAATGAGAACTCTTCACCAAGGAGACCACTCGGAACATTTAGACTTGGTAGGAGAGTAATATTAAAATGAATCTTAATGAAATAAGATGGGAGGTTGCAGATTGGATTCACCTGGTGTAGGACACAGACCGTTGTCGGGCTGTTGTAAATACAGAAAAGTATCCTTTGGGTTTCATACATTTTGATTATCGGAGCGATTGTAAGAATCTTCACAAGTATTTTATTCCATAGGGATAGTTTAGTTACTTAAGTAAAAACAGTGGAATAGAACAAAACCTGTCTCGAAGGAGCTTCATAAACTACAAAAGAAACACTAGCATTAGTGCAGTGAACCTATGGAAACCAAGTCTAGTGCTGGGAATAAAAATATATAAACAGTGGAACAAATTCTTGAATTCCTATTTGTTGGTAGGTTGATAGACAACGCCTCTGTCTCCTAGAAACAGGCCTGGGATTGATTATATCTGAAATCAATTATCGTTGGAATTGTGAGCATTGTGAAGTAGTCGTGCACAATAATTTCTTCAGTCAGGGGCTTTCGGATTAAAGCGGCTCAAGTATAACTACCATTATGACACTATTTTTACGTGTTTACGCGTACAGTAACAGGTAACATGGCGGACGACCGCATGGCGTTCATGAGAAGTGGTGGAGGAAATGCGTCTCAAAATGTTAACGTAACATTAGAATTATATGAATGGACCTAAAATATAATGTTTAATCAGTTGGCAGTACTGAGTTCATAAAGATGCACGTGCTCTCAGAGGAGACTGTACGTATATGGCCCGTAAGAAAGCAATGTAGTTCCCTCTTAAATGGAATTTACGTATCGATATCAAATCCATAAGAGTAATGGCTTAAAAGCTGCTAATTCACTAAACCGAGAGTCCGTAGTGATATTACACTTCATTGTACCCGTTAAAATATCTACAGCATATGTACTAAAGCGGGAGTTGGCAACCTGAGACCAGCGGGGAGCATGTGGCCCTCGCAAACTTTTTATGAGGCCCGTCACATGATTTGGGAATTAGCCAATGTGAGAAGGGTAGAACTTATCTGCCATTGAGGAAAGCCCTGACATAGACATATCTACAGTATTTGAACGTAACGACAAACAATAATAAAAATGTTTTAATGAAACAAATAAATATAAAAACCTACTTTCAGCAAGAAATTATATAAAAAAGTCAGTATGGATTTTTGTCTGTTGGTCGTGTTACGAGTGTAGACGCTCTTTAATAAATAAAAAAAAGCTCCCTCAGTTCAGACCAGTTTTATTTTACCGAAACGTCGTACGGCCCTATTTTAACAATGCATGTTACACTTCCAACAACTGCACAGTGGCGGCTGAAGTTAAATGTTACGTAAAATCCGCTTAGGATTTGAGGTTTTCACGGCCGTGAGTTTGAAGATGCCTGTCTTCTGGGTACTTTCGCCGTGTAGTCTGGTAGAAGTTTACCGACGTTTCAGATGTCCCTTGTTATCTCCATAATCAGCTATAGAAACTGCCGTGATCGTGTTTTTAAAATGTGGTATGTATGATCTAGGCACCTTTAACCTACGGCTATGAAACCGGCATTTTTCTCTGCATATCAACAATATGTTGCATTATCAATAAAAGTAAATTTGTCCCACAATATCTTATAGTTTTAACTGTAACATTTTCAGCTTTCCACAAACTTAATTTACGAAGGAAACTAAAACAATACCGGTGTCCTAATAACGAAGATTTTTGGGTATAAATGGTTGAAAGTTGACTTTAACCAATAATATAGCACAAAAATAAATCTAATGAGCTGGTGTAAGTAACTTTTTTTATAGATATTTCATAATGGCCTCTTTCTATCTTTACAGACATAATATTTTACTCGAAACACTGGTTAAATTAAAGGGTAAGCCTACCCTGATATGTAACTTTCTCTGGCCAGTTCTGATTGCCGAATAAAAATGTAGCTGCTCTGCTTTCTGTAATCGTGATTACGTAATGCAAATGATGTGTTCGAGTCTCATCCATTTTAGAGCCAAGTCTACAGACATAAAGTGACTACAACGATAACACTAATTAGTTAATTTCATGCTGTATCTTACATCACAATATATATCAATTTTTTATTAGACTAGAATCATTAAACTTTGCACAACCACGACTTTTAACAAACTGTATTAAGGTGAACACTGATTGCTCTTGATTAAGCTTAAGCTATTTTCATAATAGGCCTGTTTTTTTAATATAAATAATACAAGCGCTAACGTCTGAACTCCATTGTGCAAGATAGTCCATCATCTTATAATTCCCAAAGAGTACTGCTCCGTTTAGCCACATTTTGACAGTTTTTGGTTTTAATATCACAGATAACGTTCGTGTATTGCGTGCTAATTGCCACTGCGTTGGTAGGTTTTACAGTTACTCCTTGATACCGTACTTACGTGCCCAAACGGCTTTGTTATTAAGTCATAATTACACCTAGTTTAATTGCCTGCCTTAATTTTCCAGCCGTTACAGTTGCATATCCGTATACACACAACTGCCGACAAAACCATAACTGTACAGCGATTAAAATAATGACGTATAGCGCGACAGATTTACTTTCTTTAACAACACTGAACTGTTAAAATGCTTTTATTTTAATCTTTGTTGATTTGATTTATATTTGTTCGTTAATTACAGTGTTTTCCTGCGTTGCATCCGTCGATACGTACCAAAACAAAGGCACTTCGTTGAAGAGTCCTTTGGATTGCCTGACGGACACAAAGCTAAGGAACAGCAAGGACTTTAAAAGCCACGGAAGCAAAAGATGGCGGCCACAATGAGTTACTCTTACGGGTGTCTCAGTCATCTAGGTGAGCCACAGTACAATCTTATGAGCTAACTTACCAGTTATGAAGTGGTTTGAAAGAATCATATTTTTGTTCGATTTTTATCTTATGCGAATCGATTAATGAGTC